GCCGCTCACATCACTTTGTGATTCGTGTGTGTGACACAGGTGGAAACTATAAAGGCCACGTGGATATCTTGGCACCTACGGTTCAAGAGCTGGCTGCCCTTGAAAAGGAGGCACAGACGTCTTTCCTGCATCTTGGCTATCTTCCTAACCAGCTGTTCAGAACCTTCTGATTTTAACATTCACTGAATAAGGTTTGAATAATAGAAGTCTATAGTCTTAAAACTCTAAAATAGTTGTACTGCTTCCAAGCAGCAGTATTTATAGTAACTTAAGCTGTTAACGCTAACTCTTGCATGTCAAGAAACATCAGTCTTAGGAATTCTTCATAGAATGGCAACCTAATGAAAATAATAAATTTGATGACTATATTTTCATGCAAGTTTGTGTCTTATTTTAAAATTATTTCATCATTTTTCAAGGAAGCTCTGGGTTTATGAAGTAAAGTTTATGGGTATGTGCATTCGGCAGAGGACCTGTGTGGAATTTTCACAAGAAGTGGTCCTAGATAGAGACAGCCTTGAGGCGGTCATGGTCGCCTCGGTATATGTTGAAGCTAGAGAAGAGTCGTGGCATGAAAGAAAAGTGTATGATCCTAAGGTGGAAGGACAGCTGGGTTAGTTTGGAGGCCTAGAGTTTTTTAGGGACTTAGAAAAGGTTCTGTGTCTAAGGACTGATGACTGATTTGGTGATGGTGACCGTGAAGATGTATTTCTGAAGGTTTATCTTCTTTTTAAGAACCTTTCTTTCCAGGTGATACATACTGTAAAGATAAAACTATTCTAATGTCCCTCTAGGTCATAAAATTAAATTTAAAGGCCGTTCTTTGAAATACATTTCCTCAAACCCTCTTGCCTAAAATACCAGAAGGAAAAGGGACAATTTATATAGATACAATTGAATTGTTGCTTTGTACCTTTTGACTCTTATTTATAAAGTAGTATCTTTGGGAAAATTATTCTTACCCTAGAGATTCCTTAATAGCACAGGCTATTATAATTCCTTGTATGATGGTTTTTAAATCTTTTAGCACTGAAATATTTTCTTCAAGCAAAATCTTGAGTGAAATTCACTGTGTAAGCAGTGGGAAAACCATTACCTAGTATACTGAGTCATAGTTTATGTGAAATGATTATGAGGATTCCATTCTTCCACTTATATCTAGACCACTGTCTTTGCTTTTTTTTTGTTTTACTTCTACTACATAGAACAAGTAGTTTTTCTTTTATTTAGCAAGTAAGGGGGGTGGTTTACAGAATAGATTAATTCTTTTTTGTGACTTTTGTGACTTTTTTTTGCGGTACGCGGGGCCTCTCACTGTTGTGGCTCTCCCGTTGTGGAGCACAGGCTCCGGACGCGCAGGCTCAGCAGCCACTCCGCGGCATGTGGGATCTTCCCGGACCGGGGCACGAACCCATGTCCCCTGCATCAGCAGGCGGACTCTCAACCACTGCGCCACCAGGGAAGCCCTGTGACTTTTCTTAATTAGCAGCTATTAAGAATAAGTTTCCATATATTTAGTGATCTTTCTATTTTTATATTACATAGTTTTTTTAATTTACATAATACATTATCTGTAAGTAAGAAGTACATAAAAGTTACTCAAAATCCCAACACCAGAGAAACACACTTTTAACATTGTGTATATTATTTTCCAGATATTGATACAAAAGTAAAACAAGAGATAAAGCAAAGAGATTTCTATAAAAAAATTATTTAATAGCTATATAGTATTTTATTGTTTAGGTGTTCCATGTATTATTTTAACAGTCTTCTATTGCTGGATATTTAGGGTAAATCCAATTTGTCACTAATTTCAACAATACTGAGAACAGTTTTACACATAGTTATTCATATGTTTGCATAATATTTCTTTGGCATAACTTTTTTTTTTAATTGGGGTATAGCTGCTTTACAATGTTGTGTTAGTTCCTACTGTACAGCAAAGTGAATCATCTATATGTATACATATATCCCCTCTTTTTTGCATTTCCTTCCTATTTAGGTCACCACAGAGCACTGAGTAAAGTTCCCTGTGCCATACAGCATGTTCTCATTAGTTATCTATTTTATACATATTAATTAGACCACTGTCTTTGGTGATTTCCTAGAACTACCATAACCAATCTCAAAGCTATGTGATGAGCTCCTTGCCGTGTTCATGCCCATTATTAATCACTGCTTTAGAAACAAGTTTTGAATTGACATAATGGCAAGGAAAAGTCTTGAGATTTAGAGCATTTAAGATTAGAGCTGGGTTTCCCTGGTGGCACAGTGGTTAAGAATACGCCTGCCAATGCAGGGGACACAGGTTCGAGCCCTGGTCCGGGAAGATCCCACATGCCGTGGAGCAGCTAAGCCCGTGCGCCACAACTACTGAGCCTGTGCTCTAGAGCCCGCAAGCCACAACTACTGAATCCTGCGCACCTAGAGCCCGTGCTCCACAGCAAGAGAAGCCACTGCAATGAGAAGCCCTCACACCACAATGAAGAGTAACCCCCGCTCGCTGCAACTAGAGAAAAGCCTGCGTGCAGCAACAAAGACCCAATGCAGCCAAAATTAAATAAATAAAAAAAAAAAACGATTAGAGCTGGAAGAGGTCTTTCTGATCTTGTTCATGTTCTCGTGTTATAGGTACAGAAACTGAGTTTCCAGGAGTATGTGTTCACACAGCCCAGTTGGTAGAACCAGGACCAGAACCTGGGTTTCCTAGTTTAAGCTTTTACTCTTGGGTCTCCATTTGGAAGATGATTCTCAGGTCCAAATGGGGAGGTTAGAGAGGAATGCTAGATAGAGCTGGGAGTCTGTGGAGGGGTATTTGGTTTTTCTCCTCAAAGTACTGTCTAAATGTCGTTACTCAGGCAATGGAGTTTTTAAAAGAGGAAGTGACATGTAATCAGACCAGTGGAGGGGTTGCCTGGAGACCTGACTTTCCACTCACATCACCATGAATCCTTCCGTTTATGCTGGGTCCCTGCCTCCATTTTATTTAAAAAAAAATTTTATTAATTAAAAAAAAATTTTTTTTTTAGGCCACGCCGCACGGGACATGGGATCTTAGTTCCCTGACCAGGATTGAACCTGTGCCCCCTGCAGTGGAAGCGCAGAGTCCTAACCACTGGACCGCCAGGGAAGTCCCTGGGTCCCTGCTTCCAGGTGCCCGTTGTTCAGCCTCCGATTAATGCTAAGGATGTGAATGATTGTTAAATTCTGGTTATGTTGTGGTCACTGAGCCATGAGAGATGCTCACTGCCCCTCCTTCCTATTAGAAATGGAGCCTCCTGAGCTTCAGTTGGTACTGGATTACCTGGCTGGAGACGGTCCCTCCCAGATGCTGGTCAGTGGGGTGTGAGATGGGTGATGTGTCATGTCCTTCCACCTGCCCTTTCCCTCCCCTCTCAGGCTGGAACCTGGTGTATTAGTGAGTCAGTGTTCACCGTTAGAAAAGTGTTATCCTTGGGGAGTGGCAGAGCAGTAAGACAGAGGGAACCTGGGTGGCCTTGTGGAAGAGCTGCCACCCTCTCTCAGAGGCTGCCTGGCACAGTATGTTTAGGTCCCCAGTTAACACAGACACTAGAGGCACTTGAAGGTCCAGAAAATGTTAAAATATTAACCAGCCAATGTTAGTATTTCCGACTCACAGAGTCAGCTCTACCTACTATTATAGTGTAAGAATTTATGAGTGTACTCACAGATCTCTTACTGTCAGTCTCCCCTCTGCACAGAAATGCCTAGACCGGCCCCACCTTCAACACCTGATAGACATGCCCTCAGGTCTTATGAGTCTCGGCACGTTCTCCTTGTCACCATCTCATCTTCTGTTCACCATTCATTCTCTTCAAAGCTACCTTCAAGCTCTGTTAGAATTATACTTTTCATAGTGACGAGTGGTTTTGTGTTTGGGGAATTTTTTTTGCTATCCAAATTTGAATAAACTTAAATGAGCTTCTCTAACTCTGGGTTGTGTCTCCACTGTATTGCTAATCTGGAAGATACTGGGAGCCTCTTATTAGGACAGAGCCACCCGAGAGAACACAGAAAACTAAACAGAAGGACCAAATGCTTTCATTGCCTAGGGATGTTTGCCTCAAGAGAACTGATTCTAAAGGGCTCCAACTAGTGGAATTAGTTATAGATTGCCAGAACCTTTCTGTACCTGGTTCTTAATACATATTTTTCTATTATAAACAGAAATGAGAACTTCAGGTTAGAGTAATCCCCACCCTTCCCTACTTTTTTACTTATATTCCCACTCGCAGAGAAAGTCACCACTAAATAACATTTTGGCTCATTTCTTTTTTTCTGTACATTTTTTGGTGTACAGTTTAGATCTTACCTATATGTACAATTTTTATATCTTCATTTAATGTAAGTATTTTTCTTGTTATAAATACTTTAATGGCTGCATAATCCACTGAAAGTGCTGTGGTCTGTAACTCATGAGCTTTGAGGGAAACTGAAGAGGATGTGAATCTCAGATGTCAAGCCCGGATGCGATTCCGGCTCTGACCCTACTAGCAGGTGACTGAAGCGAGGTCCTTAGCTCTCGAAGCTTCTGTCTCTTTGTTTATAAAAATGGTGAAAATAATTCTCATCACTCAGGATTATGTTAAACATTCAGCTAAAGTCAGCAGATAAGAGGCGCTCATACCACATTTTACGGTATTTACACCGTTTACGGTTGTCCTGTGTTACCGTCAACATCTTTGTTCTATCTTTTGGATTCTTTCCTTCACCTGGATTCCTAGAAACTGGATTCTTGAATTAAAACCAATGAAGCTTATGAAGATTTTTCAGGGTCATTTTCAGATTGCTTTCTGAAAGGGTGGTACTGGCCGCCGTTCACATTAACAATATAGAAAGAACTGTACAACTTTTTTTGTTTTTTTTGCGGTACGCGGGCCTCTCACTGTTGTGGCCTCTCCCGTTGCGGAGCACAGGCTCCGGACGCGCAGGCTCAGCGGCCACGGCTCAGGGGCCCAGCTGCTCCACGGCATGTGGGATCTTCCCGGACCGGGGCACAAACCCGTGTGCCCTGCATCGGCAGGCTGACTCTCAACCGCTGCGCCACCAGGGAATCCCTATACAACTTATTTTACAAACTGAAATAGTACTTGTTGCATTTAAAGTTTGCTTTTGTCCTGTCTCTTCACGCGCTGTGTGAGCTGGTGCTGGTGAGTGGAGGTCCGCATGTCCAGACTGGCAGCTTCTCTGCACGTGACACCTTAGCCTCCACGCCCTCCCCCCTCCTGCCCCACCGCCATCATTATGCTACAAACAAGGATCCAAATTTACTGTAAATAAGGTACAAGGCTTCTTTCTTTCTTTTTTTAAGGTAGAAGTGTGTGTGTGGCAGTGATCGAGAACGGTCCAGATTTAAAAATAAAAGTTGGTTCCCAGCCAATTCTAAATGGGCAAAACTACGTAGTCAAGTTTTTCACCTTATTCTTCTGACTTAAGAGGGAACTGTATACTTTATTGCAGCTTGAATGAGATATGTAAAATATGAAAAATGTGTAGGTAAATATAAATGAGATCTGGGGTAGTTTCCTTTATATAATACTTTTATTATTTCCCTATAGATGCTGACGTCTATCAGGAATTTTTTTCCAGGTGACCTTATTTGGGAGAAAAAGGAATATTTGTTAAAAGGGAAAAAATGCAGTGGAACAGGAAGGAAAGGGAGGGATAGTGTTTTGCTACTCTAGAGTAACTGATGGAGGATTCCTTTGGTGGGAGGAGTGGCAGGGGAATTTTTACTGTTGTTTTCCGTCCTGTGGATTTAAATAATTACCTTTCATTAAAACCATTTAAAGCTCTGGTTTTTCTTACAGCGATTCGACTTGTACTGGTCAAAAGTGTTGATAGGGAATTGGAAATAGGGATAGGAATTGGAAAGAATTGGAGTCAGATAGGCCTGGAGCTGATCCTAGCAGTGCTCCTGACTTCTAGTTATAAGTCACAGGCAGAGATCTCCAGGTCTAAAGTGGGGCCTGGAAGCTGCACTTTAACAACTTCCTTAGAAGATCGTGATGCAGATGGACCTCAGACTACACATCAGGAAACGCTGTTACGGACAAATGGCTCTTAGATCTTTAATTCCCACTGCAGTCTTTTACCCCAAGACTCACGCAAGGTGACTGAAAAGGACACCTGGGAGGGAGGTGCTTGCAGTAGTACTAGAATCGCCTGGCTTCCAGGGCTGATCCACTGCCTTTAATGAGGTTCCTTCCCTTAGGTCAGTGGTTCTCAGCCCTGGTGTGCATTGGGACCTCCTTAGGGAGCTTTAAAAGAAAATACCAGTATCTGTACTTCACCTCCAGAAATTCTGGTTTTATTAATCTGGGGTGGGGCCTGGTATCCCCGGTGGTGCTGATGCATTGAGAGCTGCTGCTTTAAGCGGCCTGACCAGATGTTTCTTGATCCTGCTGCAAATCATCGTGTGCCCTCTGCACATGGCCCAGCCGATACGTGTCTTAAAGTTAAATATAGTTTAGATTCATGCTGGAGCCCTTGCTGGTTATACCATGCAGCAGAGGTTATTGTAGAGGAAAACTTTGATAAAAGTGGTACCATTTGTCATTTTTGAGAGACTAATAAGGTTATTTTAAAAATAAATTTTGCCGCCAGATGAGTTTCATTCCTTTCAAAATTGTTGCTTTAGGGATTCAGACAAATCTTTTTAAGGGTGCTTCGGTTTTTCAAAACCCATTCGGCCTTTTAATTTTTTTCTTTTTGCCACTTGTTTGTATTTGAACCATTTCCTCTGCTTTCCACAGAGCCACATTATAAGCCTCTGGAAATCATTGGCTCAACTCATTATTTTACCTTAAACCTTGTTCCCCAGCTTGGTAACTCATCCTGTTCACCAGAAAAGGCTTTGGTTGGCTGTTGGCTGTATGTTGCCTTAACTTAAATCCCAAAGGATAAATACTTGCTACTGCCAAGTAGGACTTTGAGGGGGCAGCCAGAGGTTGTCTCTCTGCAGGGCAATAATTGGATGGTAAGGGCGTTCTACTTTTTGTGGTGGCTTAGGGTCTCAGGGAGGAGAGTCTAGCTTGGGAAACCCTGATCAGAATAGGAGTCACCAGGGTGAGTGTGGAGGTGGAGAGTGATGGCCAGCAGGAACGGCATCAACTGAGTCTCGTAGGAGCAGCAGTGTCTGCTAATGAGTTTCGATTTTCCTTTCCTACAATGTGATTCCCCTGAAATCCTCAAATGTTGCTCAGGGCGTTGGCACTTAGGTATGTCGGTATGACTTGGGTAGTAAAAGGAGGGCTCTGTCCGTGTTTGGACAGGGAGACGTTGGAGAGTGGGGGAATTGGTTAGGACCCTGTCCCGTGGGAAATTGTTACGTAATGGCAGGAGGGGACAAGAAAACCCTCTGGAGCAATCGTCCAAACCAAAGCGCGCAAAAGGTGGCAGTCAGGCTCAGGGCAACCAGGTTTAGCAGGCGCACCCACGACTTCGTAGCCATATTTGGGAGAGAATTGGCTCAGCGGTAGTTGCACAGGCTGGAAGCTTGAGGTATTTTGTTTGGCTCTGAAAAGCTAGCAATTTGGAGACATTGAATTATATCCATATCATTAAATACCGTTCACTTAGAATATTGGTGTTAGTTCTGTTGGTTGTAATAACAAACTCTATTATATGCTTCCGTCCATAAATTTTTTATTCATTTCCCCGCTGTTGGCTCACAACCCAGCACCACGAGAAATGACGCAAAGGCAGCAGGGCCCACCTCTACCTACATCAGCTCTCTGGGGTCCGTGGCTTGTCATTTCCAGCCAAGTGCACCAGGTGGCGTTAGTGTCACACTGTGAATACCCACAAAGACCTAAACCCTTATGCTGGGATATTTTTACCACTTGGGGTCACTTAAGGATTACCTGACTTCCTTTTTTTCTCTGCTAAGCAAATCACAGATTCAAAGGAATTATTTCCCATTACATCTGTCAGAGTCTGTTGTCTTTTTTTCTGGATCCTGAAGGCCAAGAGATGAGAATTAGGATTTTTTTTTTTTTACCCGGTTTGTGCAGCAGTGGTTTCTCCTGTTACAAAGCACTTATGGGACCACTGCACCCCGGGCCCAGTGTTCGGGAGTTCTCTGTACAAAAGAACTTCCACACGTGTCAGAATTGCATTTATGCTAATTGCCATTCTCATTACCATCTCCAGAACGCAGGCTGCTTTTCCTCAGTCATTTCCTTGATTCTGCCTGTCTCTAAAGGCCCAGATCTGAACACAGGGCAATGGGGTATCATGTTAACGCCACTCACCTTCCTGCCATTCATCCGGTGATCCTAGGAATTACGGCATCGCCCTTTGAGAGCACGGTGGAGATTTGTGTGATGATCCCCAATTGACTTGGCCTGCCTGTGGGTGGGAAGGGGTGGGGTGAGGGCAGGATGTGTGGGCTCAGACAGGCAGCCCAAACAAAGAGCCTAGTCACTTCAGAAAGTGGCTGTGCCTCCTTATTTGAAAAGCCAAAATGATAAGCGGACACCCCAAGTGCCAGTCTCCCTGCCCACCAAGTGACTTCATGGGATTGAAGGTTAAGAGAGATCTGAGTGGGAACAATGACCACATATGTGATCTGTCCGTTACTTTCTACTTTTCTGCAAAGAATAACATCTTGCGGGGTGGACGCAGGAGCCTTGAGTCATTATTCAAGAACAGCCTTTTCTGGTATAATTTAAAACTACAACAGGAATTCATTTATTTTCACCATTTCAATTTATAATTAATTCGTGTCAACCCCCAGTCAAGAACCTGAAATGGGCTTTTATTGCCTTAATTAAGTCCAGAATAACTTGGACACTTAAGGCCCTCTAAAATTTGGTCCTAGCCTTCCTAGCCTTATTTCTTTTATTCCCCAAGTCACGTTGAACTTGGTCTTCTCATTTACCTCCATGTATAACAAGAGCTAACATTAATTGACCCATCCCTGTTTACCAGGTATTGTTCTAAGTGCTTACTCGTCTTAACTCAGTTAACCCTCATAACCCCAGAAGATAGGTTCTGATAGTGTTTCCATTTTACAGATGAGAAAACTGAGGCTCCAAGCGGTGAGTGATTTACTTAAGATCAGCTGGCTAGTGAGCAGTGGCTGTAGCATTGGAATGCAGGCGCGTATCCACTACGCCCTGTCATTCTTGCCGCTGGCCGCTGTTGCCTCCTGGGAGACCTTCCCGCCTTCCCTTTGCCTGTCAGATTCCACCCAGCCTCGGGCATCGGAGTCACTATTACCTCCTTTGTGGGGGGCAAGAGAACACCCCATTTTTGAATACCAACCATGAGCCAGATATTTTATATGCAGCCTCATGTAAGAGCCAATGTTCTTTTTTTCTGCAGATAAGGAATTCAAGGTTCCGAAAGGTTAAGACTGAGGCCAGAAGGTTAAATCAGGGCTCCAGAATCTATGATTTTTGGTTCCATGCTCTGCCTTTAGGAAGCCTTCCAGTACATTACTCTTGGTCTTGCCCTTATACTTTAGATAGCTCTTAATTCTAAAAAAACGATTTCATTACTTTTGTCCCCTCTGTGTCTTCAGGTGGATCCAAAGTACTTCTCATGAAGGGTTTCTGGGCTCTACTCCCTTTTCTCTTCCTGCAGTGTGCATAGTTGGCATATGACAGATATTGATTACCTTATTTTTCACGCCACGGGGAAGAGTCTATCCACTTACCTGACAGTGACGACCATTCTACGGAGACCGAGGCCCAAAACCAAAAGGCATCTATTGACTTTTAACCCTGAGCAGGAATGGCCAGGACAGGATGGGAGATCAGGACCACTTTCAATAGGAGAAGATAGCTTTTAACTTCTTCAAGAGAATTTGGCCAAAACATGAGCATGATTTTGAACATACGGGGCCCAAAGCTCCGACACCCCATGGCTGAGGTTTCAGTGTTATGGTGGACCCATACTTGCAGAGAAATATGTGAATTCATCACGGTTATTTTTGTAGCATTAAAATTGGCGAACTTCCAAGTCAGGAACTTTCTGCCTTTGCAGTTCTCGGTTATTTGAGGCTGGATGACTCACTTTGTGTAACATCCTCTTGTTTTCCTCCTTTTCCTCCCATGGGTCCCCTCCTACCTGAGAGGATTGGCAGGGGCAGAGAGGGTTGTGAAACTCAAGCCTCTGTCGACAACTTCTTTTCAGTTTTGTTAACATTTGTTGGGAAGCTGTCTTGATCTCCTCTTCTCTTTTCCCCATTAGGCAGGTCACTTCCTCTTCTGTGCCCTCCAAATCTTTTGTTCCTTCCTTTATTGTAACATTGATATTCCTACGTTTTTATTTACCTGCTTCCATGTGAGGATCTCTTCCTAGATAGGGTAGATCCTTTACAGCAGGTCTGATTTCAGCATCCTCAGTACCTGGACCAGAGTCTGACCCCAAGAAGATCGTTTAGTAAACGTTTGTTCTGTTGGAAGGAAGGAAATAGGAAGAAAGGAAGGAAAAATGGATGGACGGATGGATGGATGGATAAACGAGTTATCACGAGGAATTTCTATGAAGGAACTTTAGACATTGGCTAGCAAAATAAGGATGAGAAGTTAGGATTTGTTACCTACTTAGTTTTTATTTTTTGGACAGGAGATCTGCACATCCTAAATACAAGGCCACTGAAATAGACAGACTCCAAGCCTCACCTTTGTCTTTAAGAAGGATTAATGTTTTTCAGACTGACTGTACTGGCTTAACCCAGAACCACCTGGTTGTTCTTGGAGGAAATCCTCACGACCATGTCCTCTCTTCTGTCAAGTCATTCTGAGACACAGCAGCAATATCCAACATGTAGATGTACCACCATGC